TTTCGATATACATATATACTGTATCATATAATATACAGTATATGAATAATCAGCCTGTTTTAGTTTAAATGGAAATACATTGTGTGTGTCCTCGGCAGTTTTTTCCTGAGGCTTTTTAATATTGTCCATATCGATATCGGAATTATACCGTATCGACCAAAATTAAGAAATATATCGTGATATAAATTTTTGCCATATCGTCCAGTCCTACCTTACAAGCAGAGCGGGAAATTTATGTGGATGTGCTGACAAAATCACATTAGTTAAGTAAACTCCGCTATATCAAAACCGTATCTAACACAGTAAATCATTAATACTAAACAAAGTAGATTTAACATATGCAAAAGTAATACTTAAAAAAATTACATTATCCTTTACAAGCTCCTTCCGATGACGATGTCGCGCGAGCAAGAGATCGGTCGTCTTAAAGTCGTTAGGTAATCTCAGTTCAACTGACCGAAAGCCTAAAATTTGTGTGTATATATATATATCTTATACAGTAAAGCAAATGTTTTATTTCTTATGAATATTGTTAAATACACACTGAATAACTTACGTTTCAGGTAGAAGTTCGCTCGCTCGTTTCCCTCTAAAGAAGAAAATGGCGGCTTCTCTTGTCGATGTCCCTGGATGTTCACGTGACGTGCGTGCTCCTTTCACGTCCGCGTTCCCAACCCAGCACTGCTGGGTTATAGATCAAGACCGATTTTCAACCCAAATTGGGTTAAATCAACCCAACTTTGTTACCCAGCAGTCTCAACCCAGCATTTGGGTTGAAAAAACAACCCAGCGTTTTTTAGAGTGTGGTAGATGTGTTATCCTTTTTCTATACAAAAATTGGAGATGAAATAATATTTACCGTGTGATGTCCTCACAGTGTTTTATTTTTGCCTTAGTTTCCCCCAATGGGTCTAAAAAAAGGCTTCTCTCTCCTGGTATAATCACCTACACATGTTAGAGTTGCAATTAATTAGTAATTACATCATTATGTAGGACCTGTTTGTGTGCCACATAAATGCATTAATACAATTTTTGACCAATACTGTAAACCCTGGACTAAAAATACCATTTCAAAATATCATATACCATAATTATGACGTGAATGATTGTACATACTGTACAGTCTAATGTAGTCACTTTCTGAACTTTCCTTTTCAGATTAATTTGGACAGTCTGAAAAGCAACACTACTGTTTATATAAAATAAACAAATAAATAAATAAATAAAGTTCAATTGAATTAGATGTTTACTAATCCTGTAAATATAACCCAGAAGAGTGTAAAACAATTAAAGTCAGGCAGAAAGAGCCATTCAGTAATAAGATTTTGACTGTAATCACTTTTTGGCAATAGGAAAGCTGCGTTGTACTGGTTATACTGGTCCTATAGAGGTGTTTAAAGTCATATAAATGGGTGAGATGTTTACTAATCCTGTAAATACAACCCAGAAGAGTGTAAAACAATTAAAACCAGGCAGAAAGAGCCATTCAGTAAAGATATATATACAGTATATATATATATTGAGTGTAATCACTTTTTGGCAATGGGTGAACTGCATTGTACACTGGTCATATGGAGATGTTTAAAGTGGTAAAAATCTACATTAATGTGTCGCATTTGAACTTCCATGGTTTCATGACGTAAGGTTACAGTTTTACAACGCAGTTACGACCGAGGACTGCTTTAAAGCGTTTTACATGACAATGGCTTCCTTTGACTCTTATTGCAATTATTTATTTAAAAATTCACCAAACCCTTAAATCTGACAAAGACATACCTTCGCTGTTATCTCGGGGATACATGTACTGTATACTTTTTGCACCTTAAGATGATTTGATATCGAAATTACCCGCCTTAGTCGCACAGAAACTGCGATGCATCCTGAACAGGCTGTGCGCGCTCCCGCGGATCGTAATCAGTTTCTGGCAGACAGTCACTTTTTGGCACAACACCTGCGCATTTTTAGCGTAAATTGAGGAAAAGGCTTTTTCTCCGCAATAAAAGTTTACTTTGTTTGTCCGTAATAAATGCAGACACACTCGCTTGCGTGCTCTCTCCCCGTCACATATGTGTAATCAACATTAATTAACATTAGACAATTATTTAATAATATTCTTAGTAGCAGCAGCGGTACTCTGTGCTTTTACATTAAAAAACTGGAGTACTGAATACATTATCTAAAGCACCATGCTGGTTGCACATCATAAAACAAGATTTTGTGTATTTCATTACATTGATTCAGCTGCTACAAAGTTAATTTTTTTTGTATACTCTTAATGCAGCATACATTTGTTTTTTATGTGAGTTTCTGGAAACAACATTTGTACAAAGACAGACTGGGTTATTAAATATTGCTGGAAGTCAAATTGTTTTTTGCCGCCCCCCCAACCCGATTCATCGAAAAAGTAATCGACAGATTAATCTATTATCAAAATAATCATTAGTTACAGCCCTACTTGATTGTCTTGTCTTTCTCAGAGGAAGTCCTGGCCAAATATAAGGTCACCTTGTTCCGCATTGGGGCATCCTCCAAGGCAATTGATAACCGCAACCAGGAGCTGGAGAACATTACAAAATTTGTGAAGTTCATGTGGGGCAATGCGGACGAGCCGCCACCAGCCCACCTAAGATATGTTAATGACCCCCCCAAATTTAATAATTGGCTGGAGCATCTAAGCTCAAAATTTAAAGTGACTACAATTAAAAACCACCTTTTGGCCGTAAAGAAGTTCATCCAGTTCCTGGTTGATAGCGGTCTGCCCTGTGTCCGACTGAGCAACAAGTGTCTCGTTGACATCAACTGGCACATACAATGCCAGCTGCAGCTCTTAAGTAAAAAAATCGTCGGACACAGGCAGACCGTTAAAGAGAGAAAGACCCAGCAAGGTGACCTAGCGACTGCCTTGGTAAGTCGATACCCATGAAATCCATACAATTCAGTACAATTTGTTATTGTATAGCGCCTTTCACAACATAGTCGTCCCAAGGCGCTTTACATGGATGTGTTGTGATACAGCACAACATCATTAGAGAGAGTAATACAGAATGGGGAAAGTGCACCGGTCATGTTTCCAAGGGCCGTGCTCACGTTTTGCTTTTTTCTTGAAGATGACCTGGCCGAATCACCACAAGACATCACCATAAGAAACAACTGCATGGGATGTCTGGTGACATTCCTGTTTGCCATCAGTGGGCACCGCAGCCCACTGAATGATCAACATGACACTGCAAGAATTTGACGCGGCCCAGCCAGAAAAGGAATACATGGTCATCAGTGTCAGCATCCGGAAACCGTGTTGACGTGATATCTTTGAATTCAGTAAAACGTGCGACGAAACTCATGTTTGTGTCACACGTATTCTGATGATCCCCACCGTGTCTGGTCTGATCTTCGCAGATCGCCAATCACAAAACGACTGCCTCCTCTGGCAGGGCAAAGACTGCCCTCACATACAAGGAGCATTCCTGGCTGCGGAGGTTTGGTGAACTCAGGCCACATCTGCCCGGCTTCTGCCACCGGCCAGCAACATTCTTTTTTGCGGCGCCTGGGCAGCCATTCCAAAAAGTGAACGATCTGCTGACACAGACCTGCCTCGCGTGCAGCCTGCCACGGGGATTCTCAGTCTCTGAGATCCGCACAGGCGTGTCAACCTGCGTATGTTGAGATTCAGGACGATGCCAAAGTCCGTAGCGCCTGATGATTTGTCACTGGTACACTAATCGATTTCTCTATCCCCATTTACAGATCCAGCACAACCTCCCGGAACGGCAGCATCAGCTGGTGGCCCACCTAATGTGCCACAGCACTCACACTGCCGATCGGTTTTACGTCGCAGAGCCTGACTGTGCCGATGCCTGCAGTGGCCGACGCCTCCTGCTGGCAGCCCTGGGCATGAGCAAGGCTTCGCAACATAAAACCAATCAGCAGTCTGACTCAGAGGAGGAACTCGCCGAGGAAGTGGCTGAAATTATTCTTCCCATCAACATCTGAAGAGGATGAGCCTGAGCCAAGGGAGTCCAGGACAGAGCAAGGTGGGAGTGTGGAGCTCAGCAGGGACGTGGTTCCGCCGC